CCTTCCTTCCTTCCTTCCTTCTTTCCTTCTTTCTTTCTTTCTTTCTTTCTTTCTTTCTTTCTTTCTTTCTTTCTTTCTTTCTTTCTTTCTTTCTTTCTTTCTTTCTTTCTTTTCTTCCTTCTTTCAAGAGGTTTTTGCTATAGGGCACATGCACTCGCCAGTAAGACAGAGAGATAGAAAGAGAGAAATCATCCCCTGGGAGGGATGGCCATGCTGCAGTCCTTTCTCCTCCATTCTCCTCTTGGGATCTCGGGCACTCACACACACACGCCTGTGAGTTTAAGCCACTGGGTCCAGGACTCGAACCGCGGCTGGCTACATGGGGGTTCAGCGACATAGCCATTACACTAACTGCTGATCCCATACATTTAGTCATTTCTTATGATCACAGCAGGATGAACTTGAGGTCATCAACCCAGAGTTGTCCTCAACACAAAACCTCTTAAGCATGATCCCTGGGAAATCCAAACATCCTTGGAACTCAAGTATGTGGATAGTCTTCCCTTCCCACTGCTCTTCTACTGTATTACCTCCCATGAGTCTGACACCCCAGGTCCAGTCACCATGACCAGCTCCTTCTACCAGTTTCTCAAAGCCAGCAGTTGTACTTCATCATCACACACTGCCTGGCTGTAGTTGGTGCTCAGTCAATGAACAACTGGTGTTTTTCTGAATAAATATTTAATTTCATGGAAGAGAGGAGGGCAAGTGGGGGGATTGAAGCAGGAGAGGGAGAGATATTTAGAAATAGAGACAAGAATAAGAGAGAGGAGTAGAATTGAGAGAAAAGAAATACAAAGTATAATCTCTCATTATTTTGGAGTCATGCTAAAGAACTGCTTTGAGAATCTGATTTTTAGGGCTGTTTCTTAGAAATGACTCACTGTCTTCTGACAGGCCATGAACTGGGAGAGGGTGAGGGTTGGCTTGGAACAGGTACTTCCACTGCCTTTCCTGCCCATGTACTTTACTCTCTGCCCATGCTTCACCAGCCACTTCCCTTTGAGGTGAAGCTGGAGTCACTGCCACACCTGAGTTCTGGTCTCTGGTATCATACCAGCTGTCCTGCAAGACTGGGTCCAGGCTCCTCTCTTCAACATAACTGCCTCCTATGGACCCCAGACACAAGCATCTTTGGCCAGATCTTGGTGACCCATCTGGAGTCCTTGTTTATAGAGGAACCTGCTTCCTGCTCCTCTGTTCTCCAACACACCAGCTTCTCCCTAGGTCCCTAACTGACCTGAAACGCAACTTGAAAATTGGTTCTCTCTCATGTTGTCACTTGATTCTGGACCTTGGCTCTAGAAGGAATTCCTTTCTCATTTCCTGTGTTCCTTTGCTAGTGACTCTTTCTTGTCCATCCCTAACTGGTTCTTCATTTACCCTAACACAAGCCTCTCTATCATCAGCTTCTTTTTCTTTTTGGAGAGGTTTTTTTTCGCTATAGGGTGCGTGCGCTCGCCAGACAGACAGAGAGAGACATAGAGACAGAAAGCGAGAAATCACCCCCCAGGGTGGATGGTCACGCCACAATTCCTTCTTCTCCATTCTCCTCTCAGGATCTTGGACACGCACGCACACGTGCCCGGCATGAGTTTTAAGCCACCGGGTCCCGGACACGAACCGCAGTCGACTACGTGGGAGTCCAGCGACATAGCCATTATGCTAACTACTGGTTCCCACTGCCATCAGCTTCTTAAAGGTCTAATCGTACCTCTATTCTGTTATTCCTGTGTTTGGTCAAGCATGCTCAGTGATTGAGTGTTAAGGTTCTTTATGAACCTCAGATTTTTTTTTTTTTATCAGTGGTGGTGTGTATGATGATAAAACTGGCCACAATTTCAGGGGGGACATTGAGTGGCTTCTGAAAGTGAGTCCCACTTTCTTTGGTCCCTTGGTCTTTCCCATTGGCTCTGTTCTTTAGTGGCAGGAGGCTGATACTCTTCCAATTTCATTGTTCTCTGACTTTCTTGGGACTTATTGAATGGTACTGAGTACCTCTTAGGCATTATCCAAATTTTCTGTATCTTTCTGTTTTGCCTCAGTTGCGATGAACCATCATTTTCTAGGACTCTCTCTCCCCTAATGTCCCAGGGGTTCTTTGATATGGTTGATGTGCTTTGATATGCTTTGTTGGACTCTTCAAGGCATGCACAGTAGCTTGCAATGCAGTGTTGCCAATTCCTTGGGTGCCTCTACCTCACTGGTGGAGGTCTGGAGATGACAGAAAATGTTTCTAAATTTTATACCCAAAGAAAACCCTTCTGAGACACTTTCTTATGTCTTCTCAAAAGGTCCTATGTGATCAGGTTCCAGTTGCCCTTGGTGATTGATTACTTTGTAACATCTTAGTGTTTTAATATTTGTCCATTTCATTCCTACTTATTCTTTCTTCCTCCTCCTCAGGATTACATTTGCCAACAGCCTACCTACACATAAGATTTTGTTTTATCCTCTGTTTTGGAGGAACATAGGGTAAGACAGTTATCTGGATACAGAAGAATAAACAATAATTCAGTGATATAAATCAATATCCAGCCCCAAACTGGCAATAAAAGCCTTCTGGTAGATCAGTGTAAAATATTCAGAATTGATGTAAATATCTCGGGAGCTTCTGAAACTGAGCTGTCCAATAGAATAGCATGTCATGGGTCACTACAACCACTATCAAGTTCAACGATTTTCTAGAAGGACTAACAGAACTAAAAAAGCTGTTATAGTAACATTTATGGTTTATTACAGTGAAAGGATACAGATTAAATTCAGTCAAAGAAAAGGGTACATACAATAGTCTAGAATGATCCAGGCCTGAGCTTCCAGATGTCAACCCCCAGAAGAATCATATGGACAGCATTTAAATCCCCTAGTAATTATGTATGAAGACATACAATGTATTGTCAGGGAAGCTCACTTAAGCTTTGGATTCCAGGTTTTATATTGAGAGTCAACTACATTCTTGCTAGAGGTTAAAGTGATATATAAATCTTATGATCAGTATAAACTATCTGGGATGGTCCAAGGTATCAGGTATGCAAAAACTGAGGTATTAGGCAACATATTTCAAGAGTTCATAGATTATTTTCCATTATACAGTAATGGTATCCATCTGAAGATGCTTAACATTTAGAGAAGTTGGTGGGGAATAGGGATAGATTTAAGGAAACGACTAATTTATTTTACAAAGTCATTAAGGGGCTAGTAAGTGGTATGGAGGTTGGAGCAGCTGGATACCATATGTCTGACTGTGTGGTTTGAGTCCTGGACCTGGTGGCCTGGACAGCACGCTGGGTGTGTGTGCATGCATACCCAAAATCCCAAGAGGAGAATGAGAAAGAAGGGATTGCAACATGGCTGTCTTTCCTACACGGTATGTTCTCACTTTCCTCCTCTTTCTTCCTCTCTCTCTCTCTCCCTGTCTCTCTCCAGTGCACATGTCCTATGGAAAAAATTTTTAAAATAAAAAATTACAAAAAGTCATTAAAACACATTAAAGTTTGTAATAATAATTAATTGCTTCTGTCTTAATCTACCACTATTTGTACCTTATGTTAAACTTCACAGAAGTATTTAGCATAGAGATTAGCTGATGGTGAGCTAAGCCCAGTTTTTGCTCAGACCAGTCATTTTTTTTTTCCTTTTTTTTTTGGAGAGATTTTCACTATAGAGCACGTGCGCTCACCAGACAGACAGAGAGAGACATAGAGACAGAAGCGAGAAATCACCCCCCAGGGGGGACGGTCACGCCACAATCCCTTCTTCTCCATTCTCCTCTCAGGATCTTGGGCACGCACGCACACACACCCGGCGTGAGTTTTAAGCCACCGGGTCCGGGACGCGAACTGCAGTCGACTACGTGGGAGTCCAGCGACATAGCCATTACGCTAACTGCTGGTTCCCAGACCAGTCATTTTTCAACA